TTAGATACACTATCCAAACTATGTGTCTATCTCATTAGATACACTATCCAAACTATGTGTCTATCTTAGTAGCATAAAGAAGATAAATCCAGACAGAACAGTAGCGAACAATAGTGGAAGGGAGACGGGGACGACTAAGTCGTTAACAAGTGGGGTGTAATACAGGTACTACTACTTCCGTCAGCACTTAAAGTGCATTGTATCTATCTCATTAGATACACTATCCAAGCTATGTATCTATCTCATTAGATACACTATCGAAACTATGTATCTATCTCATTAGATACACTAACCAAACTAGGTATCTATCTCATTAGATACACTATCCAAACTATTTATCTATCTCATTAGATACACTATCCAAACTATTTATCTATCTCATTAGATACACTATCCAAACTATGTATATATCTCATTAGATACACTATCCAAACTATGTATCGATCTCATTAGATACACTATCCAAACTATGTGTCTATCTCATTAGATACACTATCCAAACTATGTATATATCTCATTAGATACACTATCCAAACTATGTGTCTATCTTAGTAGCATAAAGAAGATAAATCCAGACAGAACAGTAGCGAACAATAGTGGAAGGGAGACGGGGACGACTAAGTCGTTAACAAGTGGGGTGTAATACAGGTACTACTACTTCCGTCAGCACTTAAAGTGCATTGTTACTTAGTTGCGGAATGAAGTTAAAGTGCATTGTTACTTTGTTGCGAAATGGAGTTAACTATGTATCTATCTGAGTAGATACCCTATCCAAACTATGTATATATCTCATTAGATACACTATCCAAACTATTTATCTATCTCATTAGATACACTATCCAAACTATTTATCTATCTCATTAGATACACTATCCAAACTATTTATCTATCTCATTAGATACACTATCCAAACTATGTGTCTATCTCATTAGATACACTATCCAAACTATGTATCCATCTCATTAGATACACTATCCAAACTATGTATATATCTCATTAGATACACTATCCAAACTATGTGTCTATCTCATTAGATACACTATCCAAACTATTTATCTATCTCATTAGATACACTATCCAAACTATTTATCTATCTCATTAGATACACTATCCAAACTATGTGTCTATCTCATTAGATACACTATCCAAACTATTTATCTATCTCATTAGATACACTATCCAAACTATTTATCTATCTCATTAGATACACTATCCAAACTATGTATCTATCTTAGTAGCATAAAGAAGATACATCCAGACAGAACAGTAGCGAACAATAGTGGTAGGGAGTCGGGGACGACTAAGTCGTTAACAAGTGGGGTGTAATACAGGTACTACTACTTCCGTCAGCACTTAAAGTGCATTGTTACTTAGTTGCGGAATGAAGTTAAAGTGCATTGTTACTTTGTTGCGAAATGGAGTTACCGCCGGGTGTTACCATGCCAATAGACAGTACACAATCAAAAACGGGGTTACCATGACGACAGAAAGCAGAAAAGCGGGGATTGTATGTCAATAGGAAACAGACAAGCATTACGTATCAGAAGGAAACACAAATGGGATATCAAAAGGAAAAATACAAACGGTATTCATCTGTTAAAAGGAAATTAACAAACGATTAAAATATCAATAGAAAAATAGGAAACATACAAATGCGTCGATACGACAAAAGAAAACAAAAAACTGAGTTGATTTTTCAATCTAAAAAACATGCAAACGGAGTTTATATGTCAATAGCAAACACAAAACGAGTCTATGTGTCAATAGGTAGCACACAGACGGGGTTTATGTGTCAATAAGAAACACACAACACAAACGGGTTATATGTCAATAAAAACACAAAACGAGTCTATATGACATTAAGTAGCACACAAACGGGGTTTATATGTCAATAAGAAACACACAATACAAACGGGTCTATTGTCAATAGGAAACACACACTGGGTCTTTATTCAACAGGAGACCCAAACGCGGTCTTCATGTCAATAGCAAACACAAAACATGTTTATATGTCAAAAGGAAACACAGACGGGACCTATGTGTCAATAAGAAACAGACAAAGGAGGTATATGTCAATAAATAACACACAAATGGGGTCTATATGTCAATAGGAAACACAAACGGGGTCTTTATGTCAATTGCAACCACACAGACGGGGGTTACTATTTCCAAAAGATATACCAAGTGTCAATATGTCAATAAATAGCACACAACCGGGCGTATATGTCAATAGGAAACACAAACGGGGTCCCTATGTCCTTGGCAACCACTCAGACGGGGTTAATATGTCCAAAAGATATACCAAGTGTCAATATGTCAATAAATAGCACACAACCGGGCTTATCTGTCAATAGGAAACACAAACGGGGTCCCTATGTGTCCTTGGCAACCACTCAGACGGGGGTTAATGTGTCCAAAAGATATACTCAGTGCTCAGTGTCAATATGTCAATAAATAGCACACAACGGGGCGTATATGTCAATAGGAAACACAAACGGGGTCCCTATGTCCTTGGCAAATACTCAAGACGGGGGTTATATGTCCAAAAGATATAATAAATGTCAATATATCAATAAGTAGCGCACAACAGGGCTTATATGTCAATGGGAAACATAAACGGGGTTTTTTTGTCAATAGGGAACACAGAAATGGGGTCTAAAGGCCAATAGGGAACACAGAAATGGGGTCTAAAGGCCAATAGGGAACACAGAAATGGGGTCTAAAGACCAATAGGTAACACAGAAATGGGGTCTCAAGGCCAATAGGAAACACACAAACAGAGCTTATATATCCATGGGAAACACAAACGGGGTCCCTATGTCGATGGCGATGGCAACCACACCGACGGGGGTTATATTTCAAACAGATATTAAAGGTGTCCATATGTCCATCATGGTATATCCGCATGACTGTTAACATTAGAATATATTTAGTATATTACTTTTCCCTGTTGAGTAAATGTGCCGTGTTGAAATTTGGCATTACAGTGTATTAGATATAAGTAGAAGGATGTTTGTAATATGTATAGTTATATGAATAAATCTAGAAAAAAACAATTGCACCACAAAACACTCTATGCAAAAGGCAACCAAAGCAACATTATTACAACATACGAATACTGATGATAACGAAAATTTACCAGATTGCTTCTAATCAGTTCGAATATATTAAAAGGTCAAAAGATGCAGTAAATGTTGACTTTGTTGGTCCTCCTATCTTCCTCCGTATATTAGTGATTCATAATTTGTATCATGTTAAACTTTTATTTAACGACAGAAGTGAAATTGACACTGAGTATTACCCCGTTCGTTTCTTTTGTTTCTCCTTTTCGAATTCATAACAAACTGAAGATCAAATCCTCTCACTTTCACGCCGTTTCTGCGGTCTAATCGCGGTCTCTTTGTCTTTCACTTTCAAACATAGATTTCACCATCGTTTCACGTAGCTATCATGATAACGAGTTATCTCTCAGGAAAAACAGACAGTATATGTTTTCTAGTATTTTACCATCTAGGGCAGCTTTATTAATTCTCTTTGTTCGGCGTATGAATAACATGGCTTCCAAATTGCAAACACATTCATGCACGTATCCCATACTTATAACGTCATAAGAAACCATAATCGTTACAAACTTAGCGTGATTTTATCAAACTTTGATAAGTATTTCAATCTGCCAATCAAAATAAATCAATTAATATAATGGCGTTGATTTATTATCAAATCATTGCATTCAATAGCCCGTAACGTCTGCTGACCTTTTGTATGTCGTTCTATGGCCCACAATCGGGTTGTCTGCGACATAGTTCTACTACCACATCTGAGCATTTTATTACTGATACGTATACACAGAATGTATGTTTTGTCATAGTTATACGAGTTTACGTTAAACTATACGGCACCTCCTTCAGCTGGATGGGACATCTTTAGCCTCGTCGTCGCTCTCTTTACTTCTAAATGTGTTTCGCATTATAATCATGTGTGCCGCAGCTCCATGTTTTAGGGGAGGTACAATGGTGGTATCATAATACAGCATATTTATAATATAAAGTCACTACCAATTTATATAAACAAAATAGCCGTATCATAGAGACGCCTGTAATTATTATAATCTGTTTACAGCAGAACGCCTAACCAGTAAGGTAATAACAGTGAGTTTAGGGCACAAGCTGACTGGCATTCGTAAACAATTAATCATTTTACTACCGCCCATTAAAATAGCATGACACGACTGTGTATTAAATAGTGCCCTACTTTTTTTAGGTTTTTATGTGAAATATTGCTACGATATCATAGTGGGACTGGAAACAACCGCGGCCGTATGAGTCACCGTTACTAATATTCTCACTAGTACGATTTTCGAGCGATCCTGAAGCTCTTAAACACATATTTCTACGTATCAAATATTTTTAACCGCTTTGGCTTGAAAGCAGTGGTCTTATCAGGGACTTCAGACCAAACATTAGCCTTCGACAACGATCAAACGCTGAGATTTTCCAGAATTATGATACTAGAGGAGGGTCTCATTATGTACTGATTAGAACTTTAGCAACGGATATTTTGTCAATATTTCATCCTACATTTGACACGTTGAAAAGAATAAAAATAACAAATCAAAATATAAATAGATTACCTTAACAAACGTGACAGTTTTGCACAGGAAAGAACAGTATTTTCTTATCGTGTTTGAGATAACATGTGAATAAATGAAAGTGTCGATACACATTACCACTGCTTGTTACTGTCGATATCTGGTTATAAAGTACGTCTAGATGTCAGGGTGTATTCGTAGGTTAGTGGATTGCTAGTCCGGGGACACTGAGTGCAATTCACATTAAATGACGGGGTTTGATATAGTTGTACCTGGCAATTTGTTAAGATAATGTTATCAGATTGAATCTACAGGACTATAAGTATGACAAGGTAGAGGTGCTTACCTGTCTCTAAATAAGCTTGGTTATTTAATATACAACTTTAATAGTTTTTGATTAGTTATTACTTACCGGTGTTCAGGCTTAAACATCTGGAATACCAACATCATCATAAAACATCCGACGGACATAGCTGGGATTTGTAGGAGGATCCATAGTCTTTTCTGGTAGTATCCGAATTCTCCGAGCTTCAGCAACGCGTCATCGAACTTCATTGTGTATCAGAGAAACAAACGTCAGTAACGGAAGAGAGAGTCCTTGTTTCGTTTCTCTGCTGATGTTCACAGACGCCTGCTGATTCAAAGGATAGAAATTCCAGTCGGTTATCGATGACACAAATATAGTTGGAGCTGCTTCGCCCTAAGTAGTTTCCTGTTCTGCACAGAACCAGACCCAGACTGCTACTGGAAGGAAGAGAGAGCAACACTGTGTTAGATATGGTAGACAGCAGTAGTTATAGCTGGAAACCTTGGTACTGGGTCACTCAGGAAGCACGTGAATCGTATAGCGCTTATTGATTATGGCCAGAACAAGCTTCGGTATGTTAGTGCTACACTCGCGCGTTAAAGCAGGGAGCAGTATTATATATATGTGTTTCAAAGATCAATGCGCGTCAAATCCTGGGCGGATTTCATTGGTCAAAACATTCGTATGTTAATCAGTTATTATAATCTGCTTATAGACTAACGATTACTAAAACTTTATACACATGCCATTGCACAGGAAAATAATAAGATAGTCAAATTTTAACAATGATTTCCTTACAGAGTCACGTTGTAACAATTCAAATTAAGGACAACCATCATACACGTCCCTGAAAGATCCATCTAAACAGTTAAATTCACTTTAAAATCTCGTACATTTAACACTTTCACTCATCACTGTTCTCATACACTTTTCAAACTCACTCATCACCGTTCTCATACACTTTACAATCTCACTCATCACCGTTCTCGTACACTTTACAATCTCACTCATCACCATTCTCATACACTTTACAATCTCACTCATCACCGCTCCCATACACTTTACAATCTCACTCATCACCATACTCACTTTACTACCTCACTCATCGACGTTCTCATACACTTTACAATCTCACTCATCACCATTCTCATACTTACTTATCTTAGTATTAACATTCTCTCATAAATCTCACTTATTTTAACGTTTACATTCCCTTAGTCTAATTCTTCTAATCATTTACATACATTAAACACCCACCATAGCGTTTAGATTTGTAACGTTTTGATTGGTCTATAGTAAACCTTTACCTTTTCTGTACATATTTTATAACGTTCTGATGGGTCTATAGTACACCTGTCCCTTTCTGTGCATATTTTATAACGTCCTGATGTGTCTATAGTACACCTTTCCCTTTATGTACATATTTTATAACGTTCTGATGGGTCTATGGTACACCTTTCCCTTTATGTACATATTTTATAACGTTCTGATGGGTCTATAGTACACCTTTCCCTTTCTGTGCATATGTTATAACGTCCTGATGGGTCTATGGTACACCTGTCCCTTTTCTGTACATATTTTATAACGTTCTGATGGATCTATGGTACACCTGTCCCTTTATGTACATATTTTATAACGTTCTGATGGGTCTATAGTACACCTGTCCCTTTCTGTACATATTTTATAACGTTCTGATGGGTCTATAGTACACCTGTCCCTTTTCTGTACATATTGTATAACGCTTTGTAAATGGACTTCCATTCTTTTGACCTTTAGTAGCACTGATGAGTCCAAAATAAATGAAATGGTCGCATGGTATAATGAGGTGTTTACTTTATTCGACTTACTGTATCTATAGACAAAATGTTCAAGCAGGTGCTTAGTTTCTGCGTAGATCTAGTGATAATGTTACCTCCGTCAACAATCTTTTAAACATTTACTCATTTAAAATTGCTACCATTTTTAGGTTTTCATTACACTGCACCCTCAATCTTCTTAGCTTTTCTATTTACTTAAACACCGTACTTATCAGAACGTATACATTAACACAAAAATCTTACTTATCGTATTGTGAAATTCACTCAACAATTTCACTTATTTTAACGTTTCCATTCACTCAACCATCCCATTCATTTTAACGTTTCCATTCACTCAATCATCCCACTCATTTTAACGTTTTCATACACTCAATCATCTCCCTCATTTAAACGTTTCCATTCACTTAACCATCTCCCTCATTTAAACGTTTCCATTCATTCAACCATCTCTCTCATTTGAACGTTTGCATTCAATCAACCATCTCGCTCATTTTAACGTTTCCATTCACTCAACCATCTTATTCATGTGAACGTTCCATTAACTCAGCCATCCCACTCATTTTAAAATTTCCATTCACTCAACCATCTCACTCTTTTTAACGTTTCCATTTACTCAACCATCTCACTAATTTAAACGTTTCAATTTACTCAACCATCTCACTTATTTTAACGTTTCCATTTACTCAAACATCCCACTCATTTTAACGTTTCCTTTCACTCAACCATCTTTCTTATTTAAACGTTTCCATTCACTCAACCATCTTATTCATTTAAACGTTTCCATTTACTCAAACACCTTAATTATTTAAACGTAACCATTCACTTAATATCTTACTCATGTTAACGTTTCCATTCACTAAACCATTTCACTTAATTTAACGTTTCCCTTCACTCAACCATCCCACTCATTTAAACGTTTCCATTAACTCAACCATCCCACTCATTTTTAAATGTCCATTCATTCAACCATCTCACTCATTTTAACGGTTCTATTTACTTAACCATCTCACACAGTTGAAAATTTAAGTTATAAACAATCTCAGAAACATACAAAAATGAAAAAGAAATGAAGTGTTACGACTAAGTTGCATTAGATAAAGATATAATAATTAAAGCTAAACTAGATGTATAAGTAAGGAATAACCTGGTTTATCTAGAATGTATATGAAATGAACAAAATCAATAACTGTATGCAGTGTTGTGCATACCAATTTATGCACAAAGGTGCACACAGCTGTTTTCTGTACATACAGCATACCTTTTTGGTTAATTTAAAAGGACAGACAATACGCAGTAATTTCATAGCCGAGCACATTTAACCATTCAGCCGTTAGAATTACGGTTGTCTATTTTTCTATACACGAAATAGAACAGACAAAATTATATTTTGTTGGTATAATACAAAGCTACATTTGAAGCATATTGTATTATACTAACAAAGCGTCATTGGATATTTTAAATTTTATCTTGCTTATATCATTTTAACAGTTAAAGTAAAAGAAAATAGGTTTAATTAGAGATACTGTATACTTTATTGAGCAACTGGGGTTATTCCACATAATAAATAGAAGTCTGTTTCGAAATATACCTACAAAATACATAGTTGTGTGTAGCTAGCTGCAGTGAATGATATGCTGGACACGTGCAAGGTTATATTTCCACTGCCATTGCTATAATTAACCTACCCGTCAAAACAAAGCGATAGCATTAATTGATCATAATGGTGATATATTGTAGCATTCAAACTCCGCCACTGTAATGTAATAGGGAGAGTCCGGTTATACAACAGTCCGGTTCAACATTGCCTCGCGGGAGATAAGACATCATTCTAAAATGTCCCGCAGTACCAAGCAGATGTTAATGACAGAATCATCCACAAATCGTCAGCGTGTGCGTTTACTGTTATCGAGTGCAGTGGCTATTTAATAACGTCGGGGTCTAAATAGGAAGCACGTGTGCCTGTGTATTTGTCTAAATATGACACACATACGCGCATGTATGTGTCATGGAGGGAACACGTGCGTGTGTGTGTAAGTGGTAGTGCATTTGTGTTCGAGTGGGAACCGGTTCACGTGTTACGTGTGTTTATGAAGACTTTCGAGAGTCTGTAGTGAGGATGTCTTTATTTGTGTGTTGGTGGTACCTAAATTTGTGTCTATGGGTTTTATGGGTTAGTGCGTGTCTTAGAGGTGTTTTCAATGTCTGCATGTGCGTTTTACATGTGTTTTTAATGTCTGTGTATCCGTGCTTGAGTTGTCATCTATAAGAAAATTTTCAACGGCGTCATTTTGTGGCAGCATCTTTTAAGAAATTTATACCAAATTTGCCTTATTGAAAAACCCACCCTTACATGCCACCCTTTTTAACATTGTTTGTTTTGTGATTTAAATATATGTGTTGGTGAGGGGCGTAATTCTGTCGAATCCCCACCTAAGGATGTAAATTGACAGTAAACATCATTTTTATAGTTTATGTCATGATGTCATTATAATAAATTGTCATCTTATGATGGCCTTATTCAATTCTATATTTGTGTGGAGTTTTATGTGGAGAAGGCATAAATGTAGATGTTGATTGCGTCTGTGTATTTTTGTTAAAAGAGCATATCGTGTATGTATATCTACCATGTATGTGCATTACATATTGTTCGGCACCAAATCAGCTCATGTTACACAACACGAGTGACAAGGGTTGATGTTTGGGTAGAAGTTTATTCCGGTAATATCAAGTGTTAGGTTCGGTCTCTGTCGTCTGTACCCTAGTGCAATATCCAACCGTCCCTAGTCCTTCTAGCCTCTTATCTCGCCGTCCCTTGCTCTTCTACTATTATCTCATCTCTAGGTTATATTTATACCCCATACCCACATCATTCCTGTTACTAGGATGCCTCCAGCCATTATTTATCACAAGGTCCATAAACCCATCATAACTAGTTGATACGGGCATAACTGGTCAGTTGAGATTCAGTGCAATGTGTGTATGTTGGTGTTATCTGGGACATTGACAGTATCAATTAATTTTGTCCAGGCAAGGCTTCAGTGCCAGCTCCCTAAGGTCTAGTTTTGTGGGCAGCACACGTGTGTCTGTGTCTATAAGTGTACACTGAAGGTATTTTGACCACTCATGAATGGTGTGAGCCTATAAACCCTACTCCTGGTTGATATTGATACAAGAAAATACATGAACAAGTTGTTTCATTATGAAATAGTCATACATGTAATTTACTTGAGCAATAAATGGGATAAATGTATATAAAGACATATATAACAACATTACTGTATGAATAGAGACATATATAGAATTAATAGCGGTATACATTTAGAACACTTTACATAATGTATTCCATAATTGACTTTTCATACATTATGTATTGTATATATGCCTTTTTAGAAAGTATGATTAAAAAGCATACATACAAATGTTTTCATGCAGCATGATATGAATATAATAATAATGTCTTATTTAATTTCTATACAATATTTATATCACACTTTTAGTGAATAATATCTGGTATTTATAACATTATTTTCTAATAGCAGATATAATTGCTGCTGAAACAAAAAAACAAAAAAAACAATCCCATACTAGAAACAATGATTAATATATAAACTCCAAACTGG